ATCAGGCCTCTAGTATTTGATAAAGATCTTATTATGTTACAGAAGAGCAAAGAAATACCAAGCACACTTCCTAGAGAAAGGGAGGGACCCATTTATTAACACTAGTGGGCTCCAGGAATAATTTCCAAATCAGTGTGAAATAACACACAGAGGCTTTGCTTTTTATAACCTTCTGGGGTCTTTGTCTTGCAGATATGGTTCCACCCTCTTTCATGGGCTTACAGGAAGGGCCCCAGGTGTTGATGATCTGTTCTGGAGCCAGTGATAACGACCTTCCCTCCCCACCCCAGGACAGTGCATTGTTCACAGTTTTTATGGCCTGACGCGCCTTGCAAGACCAGTTGTGGGCTTGATCCTCAGTGTGGGGCATGCAGGAGGCAGCCAATCAATGATTCTCTCTCCTCATTGATGTTTCTCTCTCTCTTCATCTCTGAAATCAATAAAAATATATTAAAAAGCAAAATAAATACAGTTGAAAACATACTTTGCATCTGATATTAGGATAAATCCATATATAATCCAAATACTTAAAAATAAATCATGAAACTTTATTAGTACCTGGAGAAACCATAGGAAAGTTTTTTTTTTCCTCCCAATGTTCGGAAAGACTTTCAAAGTGTAGCACAAAATTCAGAAGGCATTAAAGAAAAGATTAATAAGGATGAGAACATATAGAATTTTTTTGGTATGGCATGAACCATCACAATCAAAAGATGAAAAATGGGTTGGGAAAATATTGGTAACTCATATAAAAGAAAAACTACCAATTCCCCTATTTGTAAAAGTTCCTGTAAAATGATAATTCAAAATCTAACAAGCCAATAAGAAAATGATTATGGGTCATAAATTCACAACTTCTCAAAATAAAAATGGTTCTTAAACATATGGAGAGAAACCAAAGTAATAATAACAGAGATGAAAATTAAAATTACATAGAGTTATATTTTACTCACAGAAATATAAAAGACCAAAACTTTTGGCAGTTATTGGTCACCAGATCAGCAGGGGAGGGCAGTTGAGGGCCATGAAGCTGGCAGGGGAGGGCAGTTGGGGGCGACCAGGCCAGCAGGAGAGGGCATTTGGGAGTGACCAGGCCTGCAGGGCAGGGCAGTTGGGGGCGATCAGGCTGGCAGGGGAGGGCAGTTGGGGGTGATTGGGCTGGCAGGGGAGTGGTTAGGGGTGATCAGGCAGGCAGGCAGGCAAACAATTAGGAGCCAGCAGTCCCAGATTGGGAGAGGGATGTCTGACTGACATTTTAGGCCTGATCACACAGGGATTGAGCCTAAACTGGCAGCAGACATCACCCAAGGGGTTCCAGATTGGAGAGGGTGCAGGCCGGGCTGAGGGACATCCTCCCTCCCCGTGCATGAATATCATGCACTGGGCCTCTAGTAATTGTATAAGTGTGTCTGTGGAGGAGAGGGGTGGGAACCTGTCTGCAGGTGGAAAGGATGGTTTAGGGTAGGAGAATGCAGAGCTCTTCCCTGGCCTGAGAGGAAAGGCAGCTAAGTGAGCACAGAGGCAATTTGGCTGATAGATTTGGTGTCGGGAGATGGGACATTCTCAGGAGGGCAGCATGTGAGAGTGATAAAAGAGTGAGGAGGGGGTTTCAGGAGAGAGGTGGAGTTTAGTGTTTCCCTTGGAAATTGAGAGGGTAGTTATGGAAAAGGTACCTGATGACACAGCAGAGCTCAGTGGATACTTGTAGTCTGTGGACATAGATTGAAAGTGAAACCATTGGTTGTGTGTTGTTCTCTGGTTACACTCAGCTCCCTGGAAACAGGCATGGAGTTAATGGAGAGTTGGACTCAACCAGGGCAAAAGACTTGAACAGACACTTCACCAAAGGAAATACATGGAAGGCAAATAAATATATGAAATAGTTTTGCACCCCTAGCCATTGGAAAATACAAAATTAAAACCATGATGAGATACTATTACACAGTCCTTAGCATGGCTAAAATTAAAAAATACCGATTTCTTCAAATATTGACAAGGCTTTAGGAAAACTGAATCTCTCATAGATTTTTGGTTGGAAAGTAAAATGGTATGGCCATGCTGAAAAACTATGTATTTTCTTACAAATTTGGACATATACTTACCATATAAAACAACAATTATTCCTGACATTTATTTTAGAGAATGGTAAACTTATGTTCACATGAAAACCTCTATACAGATATTCATTCATAGCAATTTTACTTATAATAATCAAACTGGAAACAAATCAAATGTCCTTCCACTTGTGAGTAGTGAAACAAAATGTAATGCATCCATATAAAGAATATGACACAGCAATTTTAAAAACGAACAACAAACTATTGATTAGTGCAACAACTTGGATGGATCTTGAGGTCATTGTGCTGAATGAAAAAAATCAAACTCAAAGGCTGAATACTGTATGATTCCATTTGTACAACATTTTTGAAATGACAAAATTATAGAGATGGAGAAGAGATCAGTGGTTGCCAAGAGTTTGGAAGGGGCACAGGTTGGGTGTGTCTACAAAGAGTTGTCCAAGAGGATTCTTTTGTGACAAAGAAACAGTTCTAAATCTTGAATGTGGCTGTCATTACATGAATCTATACGTGTGATAAAATGTCCTAGAATTATACACAATAAAAATGTGTGCATGTGAAACTGGGTGAGAGCTGAGTAAGTGCGAATAATTGTATCCTACCCAGGTCAATTTCTTGGTTTTGAAAATGTCCTGTATTTGTGTAAGATGTCACCATTGGCAGAGGCTGGGTGATGGGCAGACAGGAATTCTCTGCAGTAATTTTGCAACTTGTTGTTGGTCTTAATTAATCAGATTGAAAAGTTTGTTGGATTTACTACCCACATGCATATTGCAGTTACCAAGAATGAGAACAAGGTTCATGCTGGAAAGAAGATTGTAAACTAGGCATGTAGTCCATGAGATAATATAATAAGCATTCACACAACCACCATCAAATTTAAGTATATATTAAAATGTTATCATATTTGCTTCCAATATCTCTTCAAAAATAAGTAAATAAAATTTTGCAATTATAGCTAAAGGCCTAACTTTCACTCACTGATCTCTTCAGAGCTTCTGAAGTTGATACGCATTATTCTCTCTCATGTATAACAGGATGTTAAAACAGCTCAGATCTTAATATCAAGATACTATAGATACTACATTTCAGAAGAGGTAGGAGATATCATGGAGAATTTAAATACGAGATTTCTTATAACCAGTTACCAACTCTTATGCCATCACCCATATGAAAGCTGTAAACAATTAGAGTTGAAGTTTTATATGAGGCATAAAACATTGAGTTTAATTGAAAGATGAACCATCTTTCCTGCTCCAATGTGGCCTTTTGCAGACAAAAAGACTGTAGTCCAGAAGAGGGTGCATTCTTTTGTTTCTCGCTTCCCACTTGCCCCAACCCTTGTCCTTGTTCCACCTGCTTGTTGTTTGTAGATGTGGTTTCAGACCCTGTAGGGTTGAACATATCGTAGAGTCAGTGTCAGGAGAGCAGGACTTTCCTCTTTGGCTTGTCCTGCTTGGGTGACCTTGCTGGTGATGTCTGGACTTGACAGTATTGTAGAGTTGACTTTAACTCATTTTGCAAAACTTATGCCAACTTCTGACACTTCAAGGCCACAAGAGACATGGCTCATTACTCACTGCACTTCAGCCAATGATCCATTAAATTTTTTTTTATTGATTTCAGAGAGAGGAAAGGAGAGGGAGAGAGAAATAGAAACATCAGTGATGAGAGAGAATCATTGATTGGCTGCCTCCTGTATGGCCTCCACAGAGGACCGAGACTCCAACCCGAGCATGTGCAATTACCAGGAATTGAACTGTGTCCTCCTGGTTCATAGGTCAATACTCAAACACTGAGCTAAAAGGGCTGGGCTGATCCTTCTTAAGAGAGATCTAGCAACTATGACCATATATTTGGGGTGTCACAGGGAAAGAAACTTATTTGCACACTGGTCACCATTTTCTAAGCAACCTTTGTACTTTTAGTAACAACTATAGGCCTGGTGCATGAAATTCATGCACTGGGGGGAGGTGTCCCTTAGCCCAGCCTGCATCCTCTCCAATCTGGGACCCCTCAGGGGATGTCTGACTGCCAGCAGTCGGACATCCCTCTCACAATCCGGGACTGCTGGCTCCCAACCATTGGCTGCCTGCCTGCCCGATCTCTTCCTTACCACTACCCGGCTAACCCAATCTCCCCCAACTGCCCTCCTCTGCCTGCCTGGTCTTCCCCAACTACCCTCCCCTGCTGGCCTGGTCACTCCTAACTTCCCTCCCTTGCTGGCCTGGTCGCCCCTAACTTCCCTCCCCTGCTGGCCCAGTTACCCCTAATGACCCTCCCCTACTGGCCTGATCACCCACAACTGCCTTCCCCAGCTGGCCATCTTGTGGTGGTAGGCACCGCCATCTTTGAGGGTGTGGCAGTCAATTAGCATATTCCCTCTTTATTGGCTGTGAGTGCCACCATGTTTGTGATGGTGTGAGGGTCAATTAGCATTCTCTTGCTCCATTAGCTAGGACAACACTATAAATTGCCTCTTTTCCCATTTCTATTTTTCCTGTTCCTGTTTATCTTTCCTTGCCTGTCTTAAAAGGTTCGTGTGGCTGGCTGATGTGACATAGGGTACTTACTAGATAAATTATAGTTATTAGTTCAAGGCCAAGTATTTCAAGAAGACTTTCCTGATCCACTTGTAAAGAAAAAGCATTCAATAAATAAATTCAGAGTATGATTACATGAGAAATTTAATGGTAATGTCAGGAACGTTGGCAAGGCATAATTTTCAGACTAATGAGAAAAACAAGAGCAGCCAGATTAAAAACAGCCTATTTGAAGAGATTGGGGAATCACTGAAGCATTATGAGGTTGAGCCTGAGAGAAGACTAGATACTTTCCAAGCTTGGCAGGGCAGCAGTAAGTTTCAAAGTTACTTCAGACTGATCAGGACAGAGACTCTCATCCTTGCCCCAGAATGCCTCCCTACATGGCCAGGGTTTCCCTAGGAAGGCTTTCTCCAGGTTCATCCACCTCAGGAGTGTCCTGCAGAGCCCTCTGGAGAATCAGTCTCAGGGTGTGTCTCTGCTTCCACCATCGCTGCCTGAAGGAGCCAACGAAGAAGTAAATGATCGGGTTGGCACAGCTGTTGACACAGGACAGGATAATTACCACCAAGAAATGAGGAATGAAGGCACCCAAATCTTCTTGAAACCAGACTATGAGGAAGCAGTAGATGCCGAAGGGCAGGCCGCAGAGGAGGAAGACCAGTACCGTGATCACAACGGTCATATAGAGCCTGGTGGGCGGCACCCGGTGGGAGCCACACAGCAGTCTGGTCATCAGGGCCAGGCTGGACCCAGAGAGAAGCACAAACAGCAAAATCAGCCACGCCGCAGTGATGAAAGCCAATGTTGAACACCAAAAATAATGCATATTCCTACTCAGGAAGACACAGCTCCTTCTCAAGATGACCAGAAGCAGGGTCAAGAGCCAGAGCAGGGCACACATGACAGCAGACAGGTGTCTGGGGCGGCGACAGCGGTACCAGATGGGCCATAGGACAGACATGCAGCGCTCCGTGCTGATGGCGCTGAGAAAGCTCAGGCCTGAGATGTAGGCAAAGGTTAACACAGGTGAGAGAAACGTGATAGTTACTCTAAAGAAAATTTTGAAGCTGAAAAGTATAACTAGACTATGCATAAATCGGCAGCAGAGGAAGAGGAAGTCGGCCCCCGCCAGGTTGAGGATGTAGACAGAGAAGGCGTTCCTGCGCATGCGGAAGCCCAACAGCCAGAGCACCACCGAGTTGCCTGCCAGCCCAATCAGGGTCACGATGGGTATTAGTAATTGCAGGATTCTGAACTCTGTATAATGTTGATAAATGGCCTGATCACTTCCATTGGTTGATGTGAGGTTGGTCTCCCAGGCTGTGACAGTCATATCCGTGCTCAGAAACGCCGCAGTTGTGGGCCTGGGAACAAAACAAGACTTGAGCACCTGCTCTGTGACCACTGACCCTCATGGCCACCCTGTCTGTGGCGAATGGAGGCTTCCAGGCTTCAAATATATTTTATTGATTTTTTACAGAGAGGAAGGGAGAGGGATAGAGAGTTAGAAACATCAATGAGAGAGAAACATTGGTCAGCTGCCTCCTGCACACCTCCTACTGGAGATGTGCCCACAAACAAGGTACATGCCCTTGAACAGAATCGAACCTGGGACCTTTCAGTCTGCAGGCTGACGCTCTATCCACTGAGCCAAACCGGTTAGGGCTTGTCTCCCTTTTTAAACTGAAAACTTAATAATGATGACTAGATCTGTCTGGGTTTTGTCTTTTTTTCTTGGCTGTTGTTGTTCACTATTGTGAACAGGTTCTTTCTGAACCACATGGTTTTGGAGTCTTGGATTCTGAATTTAAACCCAGTTCTCTCTGAATCTTAGAGCCTGGGCTGTTTCTACTGCAACAGGGACCTTCTATGTCCATCCTCTGCACTCACCATCCAGCCCATGACATGTGCCCTGGAGGCAGGAGGAGAAGAGTCTGCACAGGTCCTGTGGATGACAGCAGGGTCCTGAGATCCCCAGTACTTGTGCTCTGGGAGAGTGGCTTTGTTTGACAACAAGCTGTCAGAAGCCCCAGGGCAATCTCAGTGACTGAGAGTGGTCTACCCAGGAGGGAGAAAAGAGGTTATGACTTAGGTTCATGAAGGGAATGAGACCCCTTGTTAGGACAGAGTGAGGACACCCAAAGCTCTTGCATTAGAAATGTCCCAGTGTGTTATGTCTATGAGGATAGACATTGATTATTCTTCCCATTGTTGTGTCTTCAGGGCCTAAGTCTGTGTGGGAATACAATGGGATTGTCACTAAAATTTTAATCCATAAATGAGTTAATGAATGAATGAGTGAGGAGACCAAGGGAAGAAGGAAATTTGGATTTAATAAAATATAAAACTTTGCTAAATGAAGAATTTTAAATGTAAAACAGAAGTCAGCACTTTTATCTCCACCACCAAAAAACACATATGTTATGAAAAGAAAATTCCATTTCTAAGTTTTCATTCTGTGAAAAGCTCTTGTGTGTTCAAAAGAATGTTTTTATGCCTCCAGACACCTCATATCCAGGTGGGAGAGGATTTCTCTGAATGTTAGAGGAGAAAAAGCTCATTTTGAAAGGAGAGGAAGAGGTGGCAAAGGATTTAAATAGAGGTCATTTGGGTAGAAATATGGAAAGTGGAATTGTTAAGTGATTTTCTGGTACTATGTGTAATATAAAAGTCATTTATCGTCACTCCATGTGATTTGGAGTAGAAATTTCTTTGTAGATAAAAATATTTGTGTAAGAGAATTCTCATGGTGGTGGTGGTGGAGTTAAGAAGTGCTTACTTTGCCAAAACCGGTTTGGCTCAGTGGATAGAGCATCAGCCTGCGGACTGAAGGGTCCCGGGTTCGATTCCGGTCAAGGGCATGTACCTGGCTTGCGGGCACATCCCCAGTGGGAGATGTGCAGGAGGCAACTGATCGATGTTTCTCTCTCATCGATGTTTCTAACTCTCTATCTCTCTCCCTTCCTCTCTGTGAAAATCAATAAAATATATTTAAAAAAAAAAGAAGTGCTTACTTCTATTTTACAATGGGCTTTGGATGAAAGAAGAGAAGCTCTTGCAGAATTTAGGTGAGAAATGTAAATCTACTCACACATAGGTGAAGAGTAGCAGCTGATGAGTGCTTACATGGTATTACCTCTTTCAATTCTCCAAATAGCCCTATGAGGCCAGTACTATGCTTAGTCCCATCTGGCATATGGCAAAAGAGAAGCACAAGGAGGTTGAATGACATGCTTCAGTTCTCACATGCACAAGAGGAAGAGTCTGGATCTGAACTCAAAGTTCTGTGTCAGAGCCTTCACCCTTCCCCTGTCCTGCAGCCCCACTGCCAGGGTGGTGTGTCCGGTACACATGGGGGGTGGAGGGAGGCGGGAAGCAAGTAACTCTTAGAGATAAATTTAAAATGGGAACTCACTAGTGTGTTTTATTAAACTAGACTAGGCAAATTAGGTAAATAACAAGGAAGTGAAGCTTATCCAGTGTGGAAGAAGAAGTGGGTGGAATCCACCTGAGAACAGACCAGAGATTCCAGGAGCTCCTTCTTCCCTCTGGACAGACCCAATCAGTCAATTCTTGACTGGTTCAGCCAGCGCAGGCTCCCCCAGTATAATCGAACCTGCTACCTCTCAGTCTATGGGTGTTGCTCTAACCAATGAGTCAAACCTGCTAGGGCTTGTCTCCCTTTTTTAAAAAAATATATTTTATTGATTTTTTACAGAGAGGAAGGGAGAGGGATAGAGAGTTAGAAACATCAATGAGAGAGAAACATTGGTCAGCTGCCTCCTGCACACCTCCTACTGGAGATGTGCCCACAAACAAGGTACATGCCCTTGAACGGAATCAAACCTGGAACCTTTCAGTCTGCAGGTTGACGCTCTATCCACTGAGCCAAACAGGTTAGGGCTTGTCTCCCTTTTTAAACTGAAAACTTACTAATGATGACTGGATCTGTCTGGATTTTGTCTTTTTTTCTTGTTTTTCACTATTGTATCCCCAGCATTGAGCACATGTCCCTTAGAGACCATCTGTTATAATATCATCCTTTAACACAGGAAGAAGCTGAGGCTGAAAGAGCCAAAGGATTTCCCTGAGATCATAGGGTGAACAGCAGGTCCAATGCCAGCCCTGGCCTCCTGGAGCCCAGCCTGAGGAGTTACCACTTTTCTCTGCCTCATTGTGGGATCAGCACCTGAGCAAAATCTTTATGTGAACTCAGAAAGTGAGAAAGCCTCAGGGTGTAGAAATGCTAGTTGGTCTAAATACCCTTTTTCTTCTGTCTCACATAATAGTTCTGAGAGTTTTAGACCAGAAAATGGATTCTAATCCCAGTTTCTATTCCTGTTTCATGACACCATGGGACCAGGTGGTAGTTAATGGTAGGTGAGGTCAGTGATGTAACCAATTTTAGGATGTGCCTTTCCTTCCCCTCTTCTCCTCTGGATGGAATGCAGATGGGTCTGGGAGTCTTGCATGAGAATGAAGTCACCTCTCTAGGGCTGGGGAGCAGTGATTTGAAAGAGCACAGGTGTCTGATGCCTTTAAGACACCAGTCAAGTTCTAATAACCTCTCTTGCATTTCCTTCTAGGGTTACTAAAATCATAAATTGAAATCTTAAAAATATTTGTATACAACCACCTTGAAAAATAATGTATGTTCCATATTCAAGGCATTTATGATGATAGAGATATTATTTCAAAGAAGTGACACCCAGTAGTGGAGTGCCAACACATCAAATAAATGAGATGTAATAACAAAATGATCTAATCACAGTGAGAGAAAGAAAGTCCTAGGAAAAAGAACTAAGAAGAAGCTATAAGAAAAATGTGTTTCCTTCATTTGATATCGAATTTCATTTCCAGCTTCTCTACCCCCTTCTGGGCTCCCTTTCCCTCTGGCTCCTGGTTGTTCTCAGGAAAGGGTGACACTGACAGACGATAGGAGGGCAGGAGGAGGGTGATTGACGTTTTAACTCTCTACCTCTCTGCTGTTAGGTTCTGAGTTTGCCATGGCGGTGCTACTCTAATTAAGGATACAGCCCCTGTCTGTTAGCATTTTTGTTGGGTCATAGTAAAGACCATTGCTACAGCCACAGCCCTCCCTGTGTTCTGGCAACTTATCTTTCCCTTTACACTTCAGGATGCCCAAGGGCAATATCTCTCTATTATGATTTATATTTAGGAATCTCGGTATCCTCTATTAATTTCCTTTACTCCTGCTCACCCTTTACACACAGTCTTTCTATTAAACTCTCTTCAATTGCCCTATTTATTTGTGCCTTGTGTTTTTGGCTGTGACAAGAAAGATAGATGCTTGTAACAAAGAAACAGGCAAACAATCTCATAGAACAGCAAGGTAATGTGTGAAACTTGAGGTTATTAACAACAATTCAGGTTTGAAAATAATGTCTGTGAAGCAGAAAGGACCTGGGTCCCTCACAGCCTAAGCTACCAGCACCCACAGCTTCCCTGATGGAGCTTTATGTCTCTGGACTCTCCTTCATGGGTGTCCATGGCTCCTTCCATGCTCCACCCAAGATGCAGTCGTGACCATGTGGACTAAGAGGGAGAAAATATAGATAGCTCTGAGCTGACTCTTACCTGAGCACCATCTTCTAGTTGAACGGGGTGAGTAGAAGAAGAGGAGCTTTCCAGGGAGTGCTGAGCACCAGAGAATGCTCTCCTACCCCTGGATAGGAGGTGTCTGCAGGAGCAGGAGTGGAACCTGATGACCAAGAAAGGCTTATCAAGATGCTGGGCAGCCCCTGTGACTTCCTGCACAAGGAGCACTGGCCAATGAAATTTTAGAGATCTGAGACAAGGGCCTCATGCTTTCCACATGCCCTAAATTCAATGACCTATCTGTTTCTCTCTCCATCTTACCCGATGTGGTCCCCCTCTCCATGAGGAATGTCTGAACTGTATCCAGTCATTGTTCATAGTGAACCTGTGCATAAAGCCCACCCACAAAGCAAACTCTTCCATAGCTAAAGAAGAGTTTACTCGGCATTCAGGTCCCTGCCTGGTCTGGCTCATCTGATCTGTCTCCACTTACTTCTAGAAGTAATATATGCATATTAGTTTATTTCAGAGGACACCATAGTATGTAAAATGAAATGTAAAGTTTTTCCTAATTTCTTTTTTTTTAAATTTTTTTATTTTTATTTTTCGCTAAAAGTATTACAAAGGGTATTACATAAGTGTCCTTTTTCCCCCCCGCCCTTGACAAACCCCTGCCCTCCCTTACCCCCCAGTGTCTTATGTCCATTAGTTATGCTTATATGGATGCATACAAGTCCTTCGGTTGATCTCTTACTCCCCTCCCTCCTGTCCCCA